TAACCAATGCATTAATTACTGATTTCAATTTTAAGTGAGCCACACAACCACACCCACAGACAATCACTCTCAGTCTCAATCTCACTCTTGCTCTCACTCACTCTTACTCTCGCTATCGCTCTCACTCTCGCTCTCACTCTCACTCTTGCTCTCACTCTTGCTCTCACTCTTGCTCTCACTCCCATTCTTGCTCTCACCCTCACTCTTACTCTCACTATCTCATTCTCTCATCTTAAAAAACGAAAAGTATTGAATTGCTGAAAACGATGCTATAGCTTTAAGAAAACTTTATTTAAAAGATCTAATAAACAAACCTACTACACTTAAAAAAATAATAATAATAATAATAAATAAATAAAAATCAATATCCTTAAAAACACAGGAAGAAGAGAAAGAGAAAAAGTCAATAAATAACCTAAAAAAACAACCACTCAAACAGGAAATTCAATCCAAACCCCCTTAAACTCTAATCCACATTACAAAATAAAAAGAAGCAACACTATCACATTACAACAATGGAATGAAGACAACCTAGATGTCGAAGTTACATTATAAGAGGAATGAAAACAATGCTCAGGATACAAGATAGAATAGTCACAAATCTACATAAAACAATTATACAAATCCAAATATGAAAATAGAAATGAAAAAAGAACTACAATCTCATATTCCTTAACCATAAACCAAAACCCTGTGAAAACAAAAATAAATAATAATCATAATGTTACCCATAAATCTAGACAAATCTAAATGACAAGTGAAACTAAACACAGCAAGAAATTCAGCCATTTGAAAAAGGAAATATTTTTTGAAAATGAAAAATTAGTATCATACTCCCTTTTAGTATATACTAGATAGAAAAAAATGAAATTATAAAGATAAACTTAAGGATATCCCCTTTTTTATTATTTCTTTGTTACAGTATTTACTCAAAACTTTATCTTTATGCTTCTTTTCTTACTGTGCGAACACCAACTATAATTTTCACAAAGTAATATTAGAATCATGGATATATACTCTAATGAAAAAAAAAAATAACAAACGATAAAAAATGTGACAAACTAAACATAACTACAAACCGTAAACTACACAATGCTACATGATCTTAAAAGTATAATAAAAACACCATCTTTCTAACAAAATCATTCAACTAAGGAAAAAAAAATAAAACAATCAAATCAAAAATCAGAAAGAGATTCAGAAAACTGGACTCTAAATGAAAAAATACAAATTGAAATCTATCAACTATAATAATAAACAATATTGTTAAACAATAATAATCACACAAAAAAATCAAAATGGTGGTAGCAGCCCATCAAAAGGGCAAAGAGCTCTCACATTTCAACTGAAATTCCTGCAATATTTTCAACTTCACAAAAGAACAACCAAAAACACATTACAACAGGATTCAATTCTTTGGATATAAGATTACTGCATCACTCAAATCACATCACTTTACAAGATCAAATAAAATGATTCTTACTAATTTCAACACAATTCTTTTTTTTCTCCATGAAATATAAGAAAAAGAACAAAGAGATATGCTATCAGAAAACTACTACTCCAGCACACTGGTTCAGTAACCATATAATGAGAAAGAAATATTCTAAAGACATAGTGTGCTTATGGACTCTGCCTTAACAAAAAAAAGCATGCTAATTCCTGCAAATTATTTTGAGAATTAGTCTAATAACAGTGCTTGCAACAAAAATAACATAAAAAAACTATTTCCAATCTTTAGCATTATCAATAACTAAGAGTGAACAGCATTAAAATCTGTGAATTACACGCTAGTCCCTGCAATCAACATGAGTACCAAGGCAGCATTCCTACCTGTAGTCGCAGTTGAGCCCTCAACCACCTTCTCAGCCCAGCTAGTTCCCAGGCTGGATGGACCACTACTGCAGGCAGACTTCTGTCATGAAGAGTCCCATTCCACCGTGAATAACCACCTGCGTATATGGGCATGCCATACTGTTTTTCCAGGTGGATATTCACAGGACAGGTTTCCTCTTCCAACTCCTCAACTTTGTCTTCTTCCTTCTCTGTGATGTTTCCATTTTCTGACTCCTTTTCTTCCTCCTGTAAGACAGCAACTTCATTCTTATTGGCTGGTACTTCATTCTCCTCCAGGTATGACTCCTGGCTAGTGTTCACAGATGTTTGCATCATCTTCGAGTGTATCTGTGTTCTGCTTGACTGTGTTTGACTCATGTAGGAAGATTGTTGGCTTCCTTCCATTGATCTTGGACTTTGGCTTTCATTAAGTATATCTTCTTCACTGGCATCAACTGAGGCTTGACTAGCATCAGTCATGTCTGGACTCTCGTCCACAGACTCAGGACTTGGGTCTGTCAAATCATTACTGGCCTCACTGGAATCCTGACTTGTTTCTGTCATATCTTGACTAGCTTCAGAAATATCTTGACTGGCTTCAGTTAAGTCTGAATTGTCCTCAATTAACTCATGACTGGCCTCAGTAAGATCATGGCTGGGTTCTGTTAGGTCATGACTCTCTTCAGTCAGGTCGTGACTAGCCTCAGTGAGGTCCTGACTTGCCTCACTCAAGTCCTGACTGACGACCGATCCCGGAGTGGCAGCTGAGAGGTCCTGCGTTATTTCAGAGGATTCATGACTGTGATCAGCTGAGTTTTTCCTTGTGTCCCATGCACTGAGCAAAGATTCCTCTAATAAAGAGTTTGATAAGTTGTCTTCACACTCTCTGGTGATAGAACGTGTGAGTTTCAATTTTCCAGGTGGGAATAAATCTCGATAATCAATGTAATGTTCTTCCTTCCTCAATGCTGTTCCTAGTTTGAGAGCAGCAAAGTGCCTCCTAATTGCCAATTCAAGGCAACTCACAATGGCATGAGTAACATCAGGGTCACCAATGTCTAACTGAATGCCAGTGTTGTTGCCAGTGGTGGCGAGGTCATCATGCACAGCTTCCTTGCTCAACACACAAACCCACTGATCATTGGCTCCCACCTGGAACAAACATAACCATATGCTAAATGTTTACACTATATATTTATACATACAACTCATAATATCAGTTTTGTAAAATTAGCATAAACATTATCCTGAAAAAAAAAAAGACTAAAGGATGACCACTTTCTTTCATTAGATGAGAACCATATCATTATCACCAAATAATACTGAAAACCTGGGAAAGTTCAAACAAAAAATGAAATCTTCCTTGACTTACTATGATGGTATGAATATCATGATAAGGTAGGATATGTCGAGGTTTGGAACCCTTCAGTCTTGGTGCCAGTATGTAGAGCGTTTGTGTTGATAAGACAACCTGGACTCCTATGCTGTGCCCGCTACTGTGACCCTCTCGAGCAGCAAACACCTGTCATCAACAACAATATAAACTACAAATCATCATACACTGCTCTTGTCTTAAAGTCCTCAATACTTGTGTAAACCTGCACAGATTGGATTTCCTCCTGTCATTGTCTGTTCTCAAATACCCAATCAACAATCACTATATAAGTTGACTGATTCACTGTAGAAAGTTTTCCCTCGACCATTAACAGAAGGCACCTCTCCATGCAGTAAATAACCCTATAATAAGATATCTTAGTGGGGTGAAATTAATGGAATGTTTACGCTCAAGAGAGGTTTCCATACAACTTGAATTCTATTGAAAAAGTTAGGTGATAAAGAACCTTGGCTTTTCTGAAAAAGTCACATGACAGTAACACGGAAAACACATATCAAACTAAAAGGCACCTTACCCGATAAAGTTTCTCTTCAGGCAGTGCTAGCACATGAGTCATAATCCATTCATCTAACTTATAATCCGTAATTCTGCCTGGGGTTACGAGGTTCGACTGCCCCTGAGCAACCTCCAGGGCAAGTCGCCTTTCCTGAAGGTCAGAAAAAATGAGAGCAATTAATGACTATGGTACCATTTCTATTTGAAGTCTTTTATGAGTATGATGAACTTTCACAATGAGTCAAAGTCTTTCTTTCTTGAATAATCTTATTAAACAAAGTAAAGACTGATCATTTCATCTAAAAAAAACAAAAAACAAAATGATTACCTCTTCCCTAAATTTTTTGCCGTCTACTTTGACTGGAATGTACAGGCTTGGGGGAGCCTTATCCCTACGAAAACTCTTTTTGTACAGCCTCCTCCTCTCATCAGATGAGAGCATTGACTTGGACCTCCTGACCTGCAATCTCCCCATCCCATCTCTCTGCATCTGGGCCTCTGCCCTGATGGCCATCAGCTGCTTCTGCTTGGGTCTCGTCCCTGTAGCTAGCTGTTCCTGGCTCAATAAGGCTCTGGTGGAAGTGACTGGCTGGCAGTCCAGGATGCTCGGGTCTGTTGTGGCCTTCTCCAGCAGCTCATGTCCCATCTTGGTTAGCTCTTCCCATCTCAGCCCATCAATGATGTTGGTTCGCTGCACCACTGCTGCTGATAACACCCCCTGCTCCTGCTTTTCCCCCGGGAGACACTTCCACATGTCACTTGAGATGTCTGTGCTGCTGTTGTTGTTGTTGCTATCATCATCAGCATTGCTCGGTGTTAGGCTGATGATGGACTGGTGTAGGGGGGGGTCCTCCTGGCCCTCTGGTGGAGCTCGCTCACTCAAGGAAGGGGTAGACTAGGAGGCCAAATAAGATGGGATAAAATTACTTCATAGCATATCAAGAAGTTAAATTTTTAAGATATATTTCATATATGATCATATATGAAATATATATACACACATACATATATACATACAGGAAAACAAACTCCTAATCTTACTGATAACCCAATAGTATTATTATACTATCTGATTACACATCACCAAATTTTGGAGAAGGCCAACACACAGCAAACAAATACATGTTACTAACTGAATTCTTCAAGTATACAATATCAACCTTAGTCTCACCTGATCAAGGCTGGTAAAGAGTTCATCTAATGCTATTGATGTTGGAAGCAGCCCTCGATCCTTTAAGTTGGAAAGTAAGTCACGAAGATCACCTAGATCACGAATCTCAGAATATCCACAAAGGCTGAGCCGACTGTAAGCAAAGAATTTTGAGATCAAAAGTAACATAACAAGGTAAATATATGTGCAACATTAAAACAACAGTATATTTAAATAATTCCTTATAGTGCTTTGCTATTGAACACACTTCAGATCAAATCTGTGCAATAATATATGGAAAAAGGATGAACCTTTGCTTTAAATTTAAAGATTCATTGGCTTTATAAGAAAGGTTCTCTATGTTCTTCCTTTAATCCTTCCAAGACAGCACCAGACTTTTCTATGTTGTACCCATTACCCAAAAGCCCATTCTTTCTGGTTGGGCCTGTGCTGTGTACAACGGTCCCACTTGCTCGCTAACTAAAGCGAGACATGACGTGTATGTCATATGCCATTGCATCATGACAGCTATAGGAATTCCTATCAACAAAGAGTTAACTATGTGAATGCACAAATATTGCACATACATCAGGACCTTTAGGGACAAATGTCATGCATGCCATACATGTACGAGATTTTGAAACTGGCAAATTGTAATGAAACGGGGGGAGATAAGGACAACCAAATGAGCTCATTAAAAGACAGTGATGAATATGAACTCTATCTTCTAGGAAAAGTGAGAAAAAAGTTGCTGGCCCCTCATCCCCTTGCACTCATATACTCTCGTCTGTTCTTAACCCATTAATGCGGGTATATTTTGGAGCCAAAAATAAAAAATTCCGGGCAGCTACAAAATCTGTGGGCAGAGCTGCCCCAGACTCTGTCCACCTGCCAGCCGCGGCCTGCTGTCGGGCGCGAGAGCCCCAATACAAGGTCACACTGGCGAGATGCCCAGCAATGTTTATTTTTACGGGTGTCTCATATGTGGGACACCCGTCGTTAGTGGGTTGAAAAGGTCATGTACACTGTACTATATTAACCCACTATGGTACATTTGGCATATTTTGAAGTCGAAAATAATAGTTTCTGGGTGGCCTCAAAATCGGCGTGCGGGGCTGTCCCAGAATCTACCTGCACATCAGCTGCCGCCCACGACGGATCCGGAGCACAAGCTCCGATCCAGCGTCACACCGGCAGTATGCCCGGCAATTTATATTTCTCCAGGTGTCTCATATGTGGGACACCCGTTGTAAATGGGTTAATGTTTAAGCTTTTAAAGTAAATATTAATCAACAATGTTATAAAAAACAAAATCCCAAGTCCTATGCCTGACCTTAGCCCCTTGTACAATTAATCTCATCCAGGATGACAAGAATCATAAATTACAAAGTTAAAAAGTGCTTAAAGATAACACTAATGATAAGCATAAATAAATGCTCATCATTTCTTACTTGTGTTGAGGCTTGTGCTGCTCCAGGTCAGAAATGTCTGTGAAAGAGACCCTTTTCTCCACATTCTTGGCATTAGGCAGCCTCCCCCGTCGTACCACAGTCACTTCGTCCCCTCGCATCTCATTCCCCATCTGTTTGCTTTCAATCCCATCGTCGGTCCCGTTGCAGGTTGTGTTCACATTCCGGTTTTCAAGAGTGTTAGCGAGTCCATCCCCATGTTGGTTCTTCTCCTTGTACCCATTCTCCTGCCTGTCTTCCTTGCTCTCACAATTGAGGTTGTTGATGTTCCTATCATAATTATCACAGTTTTGCTTTGGTGTCCCTTCCGCAGTTGTAATAGTTGGAGAGGAAGACGAGGAGGAGTCCCAAGGGATTGTAGATGTTGTCCTGGTTTGTGTGCCTGTCATGGAGGTCGCAGTGGAAGTACTGTGCCGGTGACCCATCTCTCCACTTTCATCCTTTTTCACTTTCGTCGTGCTAAGGTTTGTGCTCTTGGCATCAGTGGGCGTCGTGCCCCCCGATGACACTCTGGATGAGCTCTGTGATGATGACCTGCTCCTCCTCTTCTTCTTAGAGCCCTGCAACAACCGACAGTAAAAAAAGCTTAATGACCTTGAGAAAGGCCTTTGGATGAATGATTCAGAATCTTGCAAGAGACACATTTGCCATCTGAGGCCACTGAGTAAAGTGAGCAGGGTTTCTTATCAGGCTTGATATTGTGAAGCATTAGGCAGCTGATAAAACGTCTTCAGAAAAAAATAATCTTATCACAAGATCTGTTAATGTTACTTTGAAACAATATCTTATGTACTTAAATCAAACAGGTTACTCAGCTGACAAATTTTACTCTCTTTCGTCTGAAATCAATTTCAAAGGATTTAGATATGTATTATATATCGACTCTTACCAACAAGAAAATTATATATATATTCCAAATATATGATATCAGACATTAACTCATAAAATATATGCAAATAGAATATCCTGGTGACAGATTCATTCATATACAAACCACACTCTCCCATCCTTATACATCATGTAAGTACACACCAGAAGTAGTAAAATAACACACATAACTGATTTGATATACTTGAAACAAATAATCTTTGGAAACACCTGTCATGCTTTGTAAAACAAGAAAAAAAAATAAATGTCCATTCTGCCACTGCAACTATCATAGAAAAAATGACTAACAAAGGCATTCTTCTTTGCATATAACTCTTTTAAAAAATGTATAATACTGAAAATGCCAAATAAATGTATACAAAATCTGCAAATCAATCAATGGTTAAGAATGATGAAATCAGAAAAGCAAATAAAATATAAACAAGAACAATTCAAAACAAATAAAAAAATATTTTCAAAACCCATTTGAAAAAAGTTTTTAAAAATATTACAATTTCCACAAGGTCATCAGAAAAAGTGCTGTCAACAATACAAGTCAAACAATTATCTGTTAACCATCTTACCTGTCATTCAATTACAAATCTAAATATCTAATTTTCACAATTATGACAGTAATATGCTCTCCTTTAGTAAAGAGGCAACAAAGAGAAGAATTCAACAATACAATCCTACAGAAATCAGCTGGAGTTTTCTCTCTGGGTCATCTCCCTTTGAATCAGATGCAAAAAAGAGAGTAATGACAAAGAAATAATAATAAATTATACTAATAATAATAATAATAAATAATAATTAATAATAATAATAATAATAATAATAATAATAATAATAATAATAATAATAATAATAATAATAATAATAATAATAATAATAATAATAATAATAATAATAATATAACAATAATAATATAATAATATATAATAATTAATAATAATAATAATAATAATAAAACAATAATAACAATAATAATAATATAATAATAATAATAATAATAATAATAATAATAATAATAATAATAATAATAATAATAATAATAATAATAATAATAATAATAATAATAATAATAATAATAATAATAATAATAATAATAATAATAATAATAATAATAAAACAAAAATACAGATAAATCTGTCTAACAAATTGTTAAAGTCGATTTCCAAAGGCGTATATCATATGAAAATGCCTAAGCATTAGCATAAAAAAACATCTTGTTGCATCAAAGAGAAGGTGTTTGGTTGCTTAAAGTTACAAAAAAAAAAAAAAAAAAAGTAAGCAAGCTACAAATGAATCACTAACATCACTTATATAAGCATAAAGGATATTATTTTCATGCACCATTATCTCAGTTTTCAAGCTTAGCGTGTAGAAGTGCTACAGAAGTAGTACAGTGATGGGGGTAACTTAAAATTCCTGCTACAGCTAGCCATTCCTTCAACTGCTAGTAGGGCAATTCAGGAAGAAAGAAATACTAGGCTACCTTGGCTATGTGTTCTATTTCTATGGATGTGTCCAACTGTTCACATGTAGCTTGAAAGACAGGTAACTCCCCTTCAATGGAATGCTGGAAAACAGTAGTACAGGTAAGTTACTCTAAGATGTTCTGAGTGAGACTGCTCAACTTACAAAAAAAAAACTCTCCCTTTTAAACAGAGATGTTATACGTCTACTTTCTTCTATCTAACCTGACCCCGATATCTAAAACAAACATGACATTATCAAAAGTTTCTAATAAGTTGAACAGTTCACCTTATATTTATATAGATAAACTTATCCTTTTTCCCAGATCTTAAGCTTTTCCTTGCCTTAGATATAAAGATCAATATAATTTAACAATATATAAAATACGGTGTCCCCCTATTCCTCTTGGCCTCTATCAAGTTTAGAGGAGAGCCACATGCAATTTCTCTTTTCTTCTTTGCAAGACAACAAACCAATGACATCCCCAGGGACTGGTTACAACCCAGTTTCATAAACCCCGCCTTTTCAAACAATCTATATGCAGCTGGGTTGAACATGCAAAGTACTCATTCACACACTCATTTACTCACTCACTCTCTGAGAGAATAATGGCTCTAAATGGAACTCTCATTACTCAAAAATGCAAGTTCTTATTCACAAAGAAACGCAAACAAAGGCCATCAAACCCAAAAAGTTCAGAGAAAATAATATAATCACACAGTAACAAAAATCATGATAAAATTCCAAAAAGAAATCTTCAAATCTTCAATGAAAGCTCATCAATCTTTTAATTGTTTGCTACAGCTAAGGAAGAAAAATACAATCTATTATCAAAGCCAAACCACAAGTTTGATGTAAAAACTATGCTTATGAAGTTAATCATATACAGGACACACATTATGACCCTCAAAACAGAGGTTACAAAATTAGTTGTATTAATTTTTTTCTTTATTCTCCAACATTTCTTGCATACATGCATACAGCCATGCAAAATATGAACATACAAAAAAGAGACACAAGTAAACTCTAGTTTTAACATGTATAAAAGAAAACCAGTCACTAATATTTAACTGAAGTGAATAATATTCTTACTGAACCACTCACCAAATTCAACATCACTAAAAGATTACTCATCAAAGACTGAGTACCTGTTGCCTTTACACTCTCCCAATACCCCAACAATAAACGAATGCAAAACACCTCACACTCCACAACTCCTCTGAGATACTGACCCAGCTCTCCTCGAGGGCCTCTGAGCATGTAGTATCAAGGTCTGGAAAATCATGCTGCGAGGGGGAAGGGATGGAGGACCCCATACTGCTCACAGACATGCTGGTGGCTGAAGAGCTGCTCATACTACCCCCTGAAGCCAGCCATCCCGGAATATCCTGCAAAATCATAATGTGTTTTTTAATATTCCATCTCTATCCATTTCCCTCCTTTCACTAGATGACTGCAATCCATTATAAGGATGAAATTGTGTAATCTGTGGTTTGTTTCAGCTCTAGGACTTCAAGAGAGAATATTTCATTTCACTTCTATTGAATGACTCCATCATGCAAATATTTAAATACGATCCCATTCATAAGAAAAAAATCAGCACATTCCTTTGAACCTATACATGATCAAATCTAAATACCTATCTCCTACATTTTACAATACAGTTACTGAAACACACAAAAATGAATATCAAAGTCAATCAGAATGTGTTAAGCTGTCTGCTAAACAGCATAAACTCCCTTCCTTCATTCCACAAAAAACATGGGGTATTTATCCCTACAGTATGACAAAATATGTCTTTATGACACTTCTCTAACAGATTTGGGGAAAAGCATATAAAATTTTAAAAATCTAAAAACATCCCACCCCTCCAGTCTTGTCTTAAAATATCAATATATACAAATAAACAAGGAGAAAAGAAAATACAAACCACAGGAATGGTAAATCGAATGTGTTCCAGACCCGCAGCCAGCATGAGGAGGAGGTGTGTCCTATGGGGGTCCCTCAGCAGCGCCTGGGATCCATAGTGTGACCCCAGTAAGAGCTGATGAGTGGTTAAGACATGCAGGTAGCTCTCCAACTGACCCTCATTCAAGCACAGGCAAATCCACGCACGACCTGAAAATGCAGGATTTTTACTCAAAAGTAATGTACTGGACTGTGATGTCAGCATCTTACGTCAGATCATTTTCGTTATTAATCTATTCATTTTCTTTTCTTTCAATTGAGTGCTTTGTATCAAAATCTTAGCATTTTAATATCATACACTGATATTCATTCAATCTTGACTATCAAGTTCAAATAACTTTGATGTCAAAAAAAAAGAAAAGAAAAAAAAAGAAAAAAAAAAAAAAAAAAAAAAAAAAAAAAAAAATATATATATATATATATATATATATATATATATATATATATATATATATATATATATATATATATATATAAAAATATATATAATCTAAAAGATAAAATCTCTCGACTAATCACAAAATAAAACATCTCCTGTTGGACTATAATCTTAATGTCAACAGAATGCTTTACAAAAAATCATTTCTATGCTTATTCAGATTTCATTACAATGTTAATTTGTCTCTTCTTGAAAACATAAAAAACTAATCAAATGTTCCATATAAAAAATAATAATACAAATAAATAGATAGATAGATAGATAGATAGATAGATACAGATATGGATATAGATAGATAGATAGATAGATATGAACAAAAATTAGAATAATGGGAAGAAAAAAGGGAGTAATGAAAAAAAAAAATTGTGGATAGCAAGTCAAAATTGTGAAAAAAAAATCTACTGCAATTTCTTCCACACTTCCACACCTCCAAGTTCCGTGCCTCTGTTTCCAGTCCCTCTCCCTCATTTCCCTTCAACTCTCAACTCACTTTCCTCCCCTTCCAATCTCCCTAAGGCCCCTTCCCATCCTCCCCTTCAACTTACATTCAGCTTCTTCCCTCTCCAATCTCACCCTCACTCCGATCTCACCCTCACTCCATTCTCTCCCTCACTCCCCTCACCTCACTCCATCTCTCCCTCACTCCATTCTCTCCCTCACTCCAATCTCACCCTCACTCACCACTCCATTCTCTCCCTCACTCCAATCTCACCCTCACTCATTCTCTCCCTCACTCCATCAGACCTCACTCCACCCTCACTCCATTCTCTCCTCACTCCAATCTCAACCCTCACTCCATTCTCTCCCTCACTCCAATCTCACCTCTCCATTCTCTCCCTCACTCCATTCTCTCTCCTCACTCCAATCTCACCCTCACTCCATTCTCTCCCTCACTCATTCTCTCCTCACTCCAATCTCACCCTCACTCCATTCTCTCCTCACTCCATTCTCTCCCTCACTCCAATCTCACCTCACTCCACTCCTCACTCATCTTCCCTCTCACTCCATTCTCTCCCTCACTCCAATCTCTCCCTCACTCCAATCTCACCCTCACTCCAATCTCACCCTCACTCCAATCTCTCCCTCACTCTTCACTTCAATCTCCCTCACTCATCCTCACTCCAATCTCACCCTCCAATTCTCTCCCTCACTCCATTCTCTCCCTCACTCCAATCTCACCTCACTCCATTCTCTGCCCTCACTCCAATCTCAACCCTCACTCCATTCTCTCCCTCACTCCATTCTCTCCCTCACTCCAATCTCTCCCTCACTCCATTCTCTCCCTCACTCCAATCTCTCCCTCACTCCAATCTCTCCCTCACTCCATTCTCTCCCTCACTCCATTCTCTCCCTCTCCTCTCCTCACTCCAATCTCACCCTCACACTCCATTCTCTCCCTCACTCCCATCTCTCTCCTCACTCCAATCTCACCCTCACTCCAATCTCACCCTCACTCCATTCTCTCCCTCACTCCACTCACATCTCTCATCTCCACTCTCACTCATCTCACCTCACTCCATTCTCTCCCTCACTCCCATCACTCTCCTCCCTCACTCCATTCTCTCCCTCACTCCGATCTCACCCTCACTCCAATCTCACCCTCACTCCATTCTCTCCCTCACTCCATTCTCTCCCTCACTCCAATCTCACCCTCACTCCATTCTCTCCCTCACTCCAATCTCACCCTCACTCCATTCTCTCCCTCACTCCATTCTCTCCCTCACTCCAATCTCACCCTCACTCCATTCTCTCCCTCACTCCATCTCTCCTCACTCCATTCTCTCCTCACCAATCTCACCCTCACTCCAATCTCACCTCACTCCATCTCTCCCTCACTCCATTCTCTCCCTCACTCCTCTCTCACCCTCACTCCATTCTCTCCTCAACTCCAATCTCACCTCACTCCATTCTCTCCCTCACTCCAATCTCACCCTCTCTCCACTCACCTCACTCATTCTCTCCCTCACTCCAATCTCACCCTCCTTCTCTCCCTCTCCCTCACTCCATTCTCTCCCTCACTCCATTCTCTCCCTCACTCCATTCTCTCCCTCACTCCATTCTCTCCCTCACTCCAATCTCACCCTCCTTCCAACTCACCCTCACTCATTCTCTCCCTCACTCCAATCTCACCTCACTCCAACTCACTCCATTCTCTCCCCTACTCCAATCTCACCCTCACTCCATTCTCTCCCTCAACTCCATTCTCTCCCTCACTCCACCCTCACCTCTCCCTCCCTCACTCCATTCTCTCCCTCACTCATCACTCCTCACCCTCACTCCAATCTCACCCCTCACACTCCTCACTCCATTCTCTCCCTCCTCCATTCTCTCCCTCACTCCATTCTCCACTCACTCCAATCTCACCCTCATCCTGTCTCTCCCTCACTCCATTCTCTCCCTCTCCCTCCTCACTTCATTCTCCCTCACTCCAATCTCTCACTCCATCTCACCCTCACTCCATTCTCTCCCTCACTCTCCATCTCTCCTCATCCACTCTCTCCTCCTCACCTCTCCTCCCTCACTCCAATCTCACCTCACTCATTCTCTCCTCACTCCAATTCTCTCCCTCACCTCTCCCTCACTCCATTCTCTCCCTCACTCCATTCTCTCCCTCACTCCAATCTCACCCTCACTCCTCACCTCCTCCATCTCTCCTCACTCCATCTCTCCCTCACTCCATTCTCTCCCTCACTCCATTCTCACCCTCACTCCAATCTCAATTCTCTCCCTCACTCCACTCTCTCTCCCTCACTCCATTCTCTCCCTCACTCATTCTCTCCCTTCCTCTCCCTCACTCCATTCTCTCCCTCACTCCATCTCATCCTCACTCCATCTCTCACTCCATTCTCTCCCTCACTCCATTCTCTCTCACTCCAATCTCACCCTCTCCATTCTCTCCCTCACTCCATTCTCTCCCTCACTCCAATCTCACCCTCACTCCATCTCACTCCAATCTCACCCTCACTCCATTCTCTCCCTCACTCCATTCTCTCCCTCACTCCAATCTCACCCTCACTCCAATCTCACCCTCACTCCATTCTCTCCCTCACTCCAATCTCACTCACTCAATCTCACCCTCAACTCCATTCTCTCCCCCAATCTCACCCTCACTCCACTCACTCATTCTCTCCCTCACTCCATTCTCTCCCTCACTCACTCACCCTCACTCCAATCTCACCCTCACTCCAATCTCACCCTCACTCCATTCTCTCCCTCACTCCATCTCTCCCTCACTCCATTCTCTCCCTCACTCCTTCTCCTCACTCCATTCTCTCCTCATCCAATTCTCCCTCACTCAATCTCTCCTCACTCAATCTCACCCTCACTCCATTCTCTCACTCCTCCCTCATCCATTCTTCCCTCACTCCAATCTCACCCTCACTCATTCTCTCCTCACTCAATCTCACCCTCACTCCAATCTCCACCCTCACTCACTCACTCCTCTCACCTCACTCCATTCTCCCTCACTCCAATCTCACCTCACAATCTCACCCTCACTCATTCTCTCCCTCACTCCAATCTCCCCTCACTCCATTCTCTCCCTCACTCCATTCTCTCCCTCACTCCAATCTCACCTCATCCACTCACTCCATTCTCTCCCTCACTCCAATCTCACCCTCACTCCATTCTCTCCTCACTCCATTCTCACCTCACTCCAATCTCACCCTCACTCCAATCTCACCTCACTCCATTCTCTCCTCACTCCAATCTCCACCCTCACTCCATTCTCTCCCTCACTCCAAATCTCAACCCTCACTCCAATCTCACCCTCACTCCAATCTCACCCTCACTCCAATCTCTCACTCCACCCTCACTCCATTCTCTCCCTCACTCCAATCTCACCCTCACTCCATTCTCTCACCTCACATTCTCACCCTCACTCCATCTCACCCTCACTCCAATCTCACTCTCAACTCCACCCTCACTCCAATCTCACTCCTCTCACCCTCACTCCATTCTCTCCCTCACTCCAATCTCACCCTCACTCCATTCTCTCCCTCACTCCATTCTCTCCCTCACTCCAATCTCACCCTCACTCCACTCCATTCTCTCCTCACTCCAATCTCACCCTCACTCCATTCTCTCCCTCACTCCATCTCACCCTCACTCCATTCTCCTCATCCATTCTCTCCTCACTCTCACCCTCACTCCATTCTCTCCCTCACTCCAATCTCACCCTCACTCCATTCTCTCCTCACTCCAAACTCTCACCCTCACTCCAACTCACCCTCACTCAATCTCACCCTCACTCCATCTCTCACCCTCACTCTCCAATCTCACCCTCACTCCATTCTCTCCCTCACTCCAATCTCCCTCACTCCATTCTCTCCCTCACTCACTCCATTCTCTCCTCACTCCAATCTCACCCTCACTACTCACTCCATCTCCCTCACTCCATTCTCACCCTCACTCCATTCTCCCTCACTCCTCACCCTCACCCATTCTCTCCTCACTCCATTCTCTCCTCACTCCATCTCTCCTCACTCCAATCTCACCTCCTCCATTTCTCTCCCTCCTCCACTCCATTCTCTCCCTCACTCCATTCTCACCCTCATCCATTCTCTCTCCAATCTCACCTCACTCCAATCTCTCCCTCACTCCATCTCACCCTTCTCCAATCTCACCCTCACTCCATTCTCTCCCTCACTCTCCCTCACTCCATTCTCTCCCTCACTCCAATCTCACCCTCACTCCATTCTCTCCCTCACTCATCTCACCCTCACTCCAATCTCTCCTCACTCCTCACCCTCACTCCAATCTCTCCCTCAATCCAATCTCACCCTCACTCCAATCTCACCCTCACTCCAATCTCACTCCCTCAATTCTCTCCCTCACTCCCTCACCCTCACTCCATTCTCTCCATCTCCAACTCAATCTCACCCTTTCTCTCCCTCACTCCAATCCAATCTCACCCTCACTCCATTCTCTCCCTCACTCCAATCACACCCTCAACCACTAACCCTAAAGTACCCTCCCGTACCCAGCCATGCCCTCCCCCCATCCCCCGCTGCCCTAAAACCACCAAGAGACAGGGTTTGTTGCGGAAGGGGAGAGGCAGGGCCACAAAGAAAAGGACACTAACAAAAGACAAAAAATGTTATTGGGTTCCTTAGAATGTAAAAAAAATAATAATGAACAGATCGCTTCTAAGATTTTGTAGATTAGGACAGATAAGTTTGACACTGAGTTGTTTTTCTTTGTTCAAGAAGTATTAACGGGGTGCAAGAAAAACAAAACATGTAAACAAATACCTCGACAGAGGAAGAGCACCTTCCCTACACTCCTACCCTGACCCCCTTACCCCTCCAATACGTAAACCTACTCCAAAATTCCTATATCTTTCCCCTCCCCCCTTCCCCCCGTCCTTTCTCCTTCCCCGCATAACCCCACACCCAAATTTCCAACCCCTCTCCTCTCCCCATCCTGACGTACCCCAAAAAATACACCCTCCCATCCCCACCCTCCTGCCCTCTCCCCTCCCAGCCCATTCCCTTCAATCACACCTCCATCCTCCCCTTCCTCCCATCCCCACCGTCCTGCCCTCTCCGCCCATCACACCCCCCCTGCCCCCTTCCTCCACTCATACCCACCCCATCTCCTTCCCTCACACCCATCCTACCCCTTTCCCTCCACGCCTTCCCTCACACCACCATCCTACCCCTTCCCTCCTACTCCACTCCCTCAAACCCCCGCCTTACCTCTCGTGAGCGGCTTTGGTGGCTTAGGACCCCACCCACTGCCTCACACCCCAACCCTAACCCTATTCCCTCCCTTGCCCCACCCTCGCACCCCCGTCCCTACCTCTCGTGAGCGGCTTGGTGGCGTAGGACCCCACCCACTCCCTCTCACCCCAAGCCTGACCCCATTCCCTCCCCACTCCCCTCCCCTTACCCCTCCCTCGCACCCCCGTCCTACCTCTCGTGAGCGGCTTGGTGGCGTAGGGCAGACTCATGACGGTGGCCAGGGTGTCCTTGTCGAGCAGCGAGGCCACGACGGGCCAATAGCCCTTGTTGAGGGCGTGGAGGCCATGCAGGAGGGCGGCGTCCAGACTCAGCACCAGCCACCGCCCCGTGCACGCGCGCACGCACCCGACGCCGCACCACTCCAACTGGGCCTGAAAAGGGGTGAGGGAAACGATCAGGGTTGGGGGTTGAGTGCCTTGCGCGCTGTTTGCGCTGTGGCGTCGGTTCTGGTCTGTTTGTGACCAAAGTTCCGTTCTGGTTGTGTGTTGTGCGGTTGGGTGTTATTGGGTAATATTCTGGCTGTGTTGTGCATTGCAAGTTATAGTGTCGTTGAGTTATAAAATGTATTCTGGCTGTGTTTTAAGTTCTGTGGTTGTGTTAGATTCTGTTCCTGGTTATGTTAAGTGTTATAAAANACTGCCGTTAATCCAGACAATTCGGTGTAGTCAGTTATTATAGTCTCGAGTTGGCGAGACAAACAACCCGATAACAAAAGGAATAAATCCCGGACGAAGGGAGTAGGAAGGAAAGAGACGAGAGCAGGTACAGGAGTTCCGATCAGAAAGGCTTAATTGATTAGAGAAAAAAAAGGGGTAAGGAAGGAAGAGAAGAAAAAAAGGGGAGGGGGAAGGGGGGGGGTCGGATTACTGGATTTTAGTGGCGAGAATCACGTCTTTTGGTCAGCTTGTTTTCACGGATTTGGCCTTGAGTTTGTTTGGGTTGTTTTTTGGGCGTTTTTTTTACCTTAGTTTGCCCTTTAAACTTTTTTTTCGTTTTCCTTTATCTTTTTGTTTTTGTTTTTGTTTAAATTCGAAGGGAATTTTAAGAAAGACAGAAAGAGAAACCGGGAAAGGGGTTAGGAGGGCGAGGGAAATGAGAGAGGAACAGGGAGAAGAAGGAGCAAGAAGATAAAGAGACAGGAAAAGGGGTAGGAGGAAGAGGAAAAGAGTAAGAAACAGGGGGAAGGGGAAGGAGGAAAGAAAAAAAACAAAAACACACAGGGCGAATCATAAAGAAGAATTGAAAAAGAGAGAAACAAGAGAAACGAGAATGAGGAAGAACAAGAGATTAAGAAAGAGGGGGAAAAGGGCAAAGAAGAAAAAGGAAAAGAGAGGAAAACGGATACGAGTTTATATGAAATATGGGCGATAAGTGACCCCCTTTTTTCTGTTTTGACGGATTAAGCCCCGCCTAGTTTGAGGGATTCGGATTTCCTGAGGATTTCGTCGGATTTGAGGACCTCCGGGGTGTCTGCAGAAGGTCCTTGTTTGACACGTCCTTCGGGACTTTCTTGCTCTTCCGGTAAGACGGGGAGGGAGGAGGGGAAGAGGGGAATGAGGGAGGAGGAGAAGGGGGGAGTGAGGGGGGGAGGTTGGGGAGGAATGAGGGAGGAGGGAAGGGAGGAGAGGGCGGGAGATTGGGGAGAAATGAGGGGGAGGGAAGGGGAGGAATGAAGGGATGGGGGGAGGAGGAGACAGGAGGGAGGTTGGGGAGGAATGAAGGAACTGGGGTTTAGGGTGAGGGGAAAGGGGAGGTGGGGAGGACGGGAGGAATGAAAAGGAGAATCGGGATTGGGGGAAGGGTGAGTGAAGGGAATGGGGCTTAGGATTGGGGAAGAGGGAGATTGGGGAGGAATGAAGGGATTGGGAACTTATAATGGGGGGATTGGGAGGGGGAGGTTGGAGAGGAGTGAAGGAAATGGGGGGGGAGCTTAGGATTGGGAGAGGGAGGGGAAGGGGGGGAAGGCAAGAGCAAAACGAGAAACGGAAACTCCTTGAGTTACTCTGCACGCGTGTGGGAATGCCCGGGAGCTGTGAAGGGGGCTCTGTGTGAAGGACTCGGGACACCTACCGAAGGAGCAAAGGAGTGCAGGATATGGGCGGGGAGGGGAGGGGGGGTGGAGGAAGGGGGGATTGCGTGATCTCTGAGGACTCTTTCTTGGAGTTTGGCGCTATTTTTGCTTTCGTCTTTTTTGTTGTCTTTCTCACTTCCTTCTTTTTTTCTTTCTTTCCTCTCTCTTCTTTCCCCCTCCCTCCCTCCCTCGTTTTTCTTTCTTTCTCTCCTCTCCCTCCTCCTTCCTTCCTCTCTCTCTCTCTCCTCTCTCTCTCTTCTCTCTCTCTCTCTCTCTCTCTCTCTCTCTCTCTCTCTCTCTCTCTCTCTCTCTCTCTCTCTCTCCTCCTCCCTCTCCCTCCTCCCTCCCCTCCCCTCCTCCCTCCCCTCCCTTCCCTCCCTCCCTCCCTCCCTCCCCTCCTCCCTCCCTCCCTCTCTCTCTCTCTCTCTCTCTCTCTCTCCTCTCTCTTCTTCCTCTCTCTCTCCTCTCTCTCTCTCTCTCTCTCTCTCTCTCTCTCTCTCTCTCTCTCTCTCTCTCTCTCTCTCTCTCTCTCTCTCTCTCTCTCTTCTCTCTCTTATTCTAATTCCGATGCATGTCCCGGCGCTGGAGGAACACCTAAGCTCTTAAGTTGGTCTTCTTTCGTTCCTGTTTATTTGTTTATCTTATTATTTCCTCTGTCTTCATCCTCTCAGTCCGCGTCCTCCTTCACCTCCCCCTCCTCCACTTCCATCCCCTCCTTCATCACCCCTTTGCCTCTCTCATTCCTCTTTCCCCTAATTCTTCTTCCTCTCTCCTCCTCCTCTTCTTCCTCTCCCTCCTTCTCTTCCTCCTACTCCTTCACCTCCACCTCCTATACCTCCACTTTCTGCTTCACTTCCACCTTCTCTCTCCTCCTCCTCCTCCTCCACTTCCACCTCCACCTCCACCTCTACCACCTCCTCCACCACCTCCTCGTCGTCCTTCAGGTCCGCCCGTATCCTCCTCGAGAAGCAGATCCTTAAGCGTAACAATAAAACCGCTTCGATGACTCACGGGGCAGCGGGTTGCTTCGAGCGATACAGGTATTCGAGGATGGCACTTGAAGGCTGAGTCACAATCATAGCCAGCCATTGTTACCGGGTCTCCGTAAGCGCTGCAGAGAGACGCACTTGTTATTAATAGCTTGGGGGGGGGGAAGGGTTGAGGGGGAGGGGAGAGGTGGAGGGGAAGGGGAGAGGTGGAGGGGAGGGGAAGGGGAGGGGGTGAGAGGGTGGAAGGGGAAGGGTTGAGGGAAGGGAAGGTAAGTGGTAGGGGTGGAGTGGGGTGGGGTTGGAGGGAGGGTTTGCGAGTACTTGTGCTTTCCATATTCGTGCGGAGGGTGGTTGGGGGGGGGGGGCTTTGTCTCTGTCTTATCTTCTTTTTTGTAAGGTGTATGTATATATTTATCTCTCTCTATCTCTCTGTCTCCCCTCTCTCTCTCTCTCCCCACCCTTCCCTCCTTCTCTTACTTTCTCCCTTCTTTTCCATCTTTACTTCTCACTCTTCCTCTTCTATCCCTCCCACATCCCATCCCTTTCATCCTTCCATTCCCCTTTCCCCTCCATCCTTCCCTTCTCCCCCCCTCCCCTCGCTCCCCCCTCCTTCAGGTAGTTTCTGATACCCTTATACCCTTATACCCTCGCCGGCCACCACCTCGCCGGTGTTTGGGCAGACACCTACTAATGATTTATCAGTTAAGGGCCAGAGAACGATTTGTAGGGTTTAATTGTCACAGCCGGGGAAGCGTGGCCGCGACGAGGGGTACAGAGAGAATGAATGGGAATGATTAGAGTGGGTAAAGAATAAGAAGAATAAAAACGAGAGAGGGGGAAAGGATATAAAAATAAGAGGAATAAAAACAAGAGAGGTGGGAAGGATATGTTGAGAGGGAGAGGAGGTGGTCGAGAGAGAGCGAGGGACGGAAAGGAGAATGGGATTCGTGAAAATCGGTTTTCAAAGAAAATGGGGAAGGGTAATAAAAAGGAAGTTTAAGGGAAAATAATTAGAAGGGTTGGGAATCATTCAGGGATCGAAATGATTCGCTCTAACCACGATTTCTCATGGATAAAAAACATAAGAGAAACCATCACCATTTAGTAAACAAGACAAAAAACGATAAGATTTTTTTTTCTCCCCCCGAACAGTTGCAAAGAAAACGGGAATCTCGCGTGTCCGGTGTGTAATTTTTCTCCGCGTCCACCCAGTCCTCGCGCCGTGATTCATGGCCCCCGTTCAGGATAACCGCTCAATCACCTTTGGTTATTTATGTACGATTTCCCCTCAATGGAGTCCGTCCCCCTTCGCCCCAACCCAACCCTGAAATTGCCTGGATTCCCCAACGACAGAAAGGCTCGAATATATCATGTGCTACAAAGTACCCATGTGGTTCTGCCTTGGATGGCGGTCTTATCTCGGTCTCCGATCTCTCCCCTTAACAGGTCAGCCCCGGGCGCCCCCGTGGTCATATAAGGTCAACAATGAGGTGGGAAACCAGGGGTAGGACGAGGGTGGGTGGGGGGGATAAGGGGAAGGAGAGGAGGGGAGGGGAGGGGGAGCTCGTGGTCGTTGTCAATGTCGTACTTTTGGTTCATCATTGTTGCAGTAATATGGCTCGTGGCCTATGGGAGTGCCTAGTAATAACCCCTTTTTATTTTTCATTCTCGTTCAACTTTTTTTTCTTGAGCACAGAACAGGTTTTTATCATAGAGAAATTTCTGGCAAAGTTTGGATTTTCTTTATTTTTTCCCTCATAATCGTCCATATGGTTATGGGGGCTTTATATTCTCCCTTTCCCCCTTTTTTTTTTTACTGGTTTATTTATTTTACGTGGAAAGTCCCCGGCCTTACATAATAGAACTCAGAGAGAGGAAGCAACGGCCTTTTCTTACTCGGGTCTAAGGAGGTCGTTCCGGGGAGGTCGTTTCGAGGAGGTCCCCTGGGTCGTTTGGAAGGGGTAGGCCTAATAGGCTGTCCAGTTCCGGCGACAAGATTAGTCCGTTGTTGCTATTGCATTCGGGTTAGTGAGCCTTAACCAGAAACTTTTTTTTTTTCTTTCTATTTTTGGTGTAGAAATAAGCTGAGCTAAGTTTTTTTTTTTTTTTTTTTTTTTTTTTTTTTTTTTTTTTGAGAGAGAGAGAGAGAGAAAGAGAAGAGAAAGAGAAAGAGAAAAAAGAAAGAGAAAAAAAGTCATCGTAATCGTCGAAGTCATGATTTCCAAAGAAGCCAAAACGAAATAAAGAAGAAAGTAAGAAAAAATGATAACCAATAAAAGAAACATAACAAAAGGATAAAAGCCCCCTCCCCCCTTTAAAAATACCCCCCCCCCAAAAAAAAAATAATAATAAATAAAAAAAAAAAGAAAAATATGCACAACCCCAGACTAGATTCCTGCCGTTCCAAGAGGCCCTAACAGCCTCATTCCAAGGGGGGGGGGGAGGGAAAGGGGTCAAGAGGCAGTTACTCCGACAGTTAGGCCCATGCTAGCGCTGCCAGCCTATGCCGAGGGGGGGGGGGGGTTAGGGTTATCTCATCCACATCGCGGCGAATAGACCCTCTTGCGGGAGGAGAGGGGGGGGGGGGAGGAGGAGGAATAACTTGGACGAAGACTGTAATTTTTGTCTCTCGTTCCTTCTGCTTATCCTTTCCATCTGGGGTTTTGCTTCTTGTTTTTCGTTGGTTTGATTTTTGGGGGTTTTTCTTTTTTACTTTTTTTCTGTTCTTTTCCCTTGTTTCTTCTTTTTTTCGTTTTCTTTTCTTATCCATCTCTTCTCTTTTCTTCTTTTTCCTTTCTTCTTTTCTTTTTAATTTCTACTTATTTTCTTTTTCCTCATTTCTTTTTTTTCGTTTTGTCTTCATTCTTCATTTTGTCTTCATTTCTTCTTTTCTTCAACTTCTTCCTCTTTTTCGTCTTCTTTTTCTACCATCAGCATTTACTTCGTAGGCATCTTTATTTTGTTTTGTTTTTCACCATCTTTTTTTTCTGTCTAGCCTTCGCAGATGGTTTGGTTCTCGTTAAGTTAATATTATTAATATAATTGATATTATCCTTATATGATCTTATATAATTAGGCTTTGTATTTTAAGTGGTTGAGATAAATGTTTCCAGATACTTATTATTTTTTGAAGCTGCGTGAAACAAGTGTTTAAGGACACGTATTAATGTGGCTTAATTTTTTGTCTTTCCAGGTATGGGAGTGAGACGGATGGCGCGCCTGTTTTGGTTAAGTAAAATGGACGGATTTACACACGCGCACGCACACGCGCCACACTCACACTCATGCTAACATTCACACTCTTATACTCACACTCGTGCACACTCAAATTCAAACACATATTCACATGCACACGCACACACACACGTCCACTCGCACACGCACGCATACACGCACGCATGCATGCATACACGCACACACACACATTCACTCACACAAACATACACACATGTACACGCGCGCGCATTCACTCACACTCTCACAATCCCTCACTCACTCTGGTACATTCCCCCCCCCCTTTTTTTTTACATTTGCAGAAGCGAAGAGTAGCCTTTGACGGACTCTTCCCCCCAAAGGAAGTCGAGATTTACGAGTAGCTCGGCAAAGAGTTCCCGGGGACTTAGGCAAAAAAAGATGTAAAAGAAAAAGAAAATATAGAAAGGGTGGATCAAAACGAAGGGAAAGGGAGAAAGAGAAAAGGGGGAAAAGAAGAAAAGGGAGGAAGGAGGAAAACAGCAACAACAACAACAGCAACAACAATAAGACAACAAGAAAAATGGGAGAATGAGAAGAAGAAGAAAAAAAAAAACTTGGGGTGTGAGCAGACAATGGTCAACTGCAGCTCCTCTTCCATCACAAGCGTTAACTGTCGCGTGTGAATGACGTTGATTACTGCCAGGATGCGGGATATGGTCTCTTCGGCGGTGCAATGATAACAAAAAAGGCCCTTTCTTCCGCCTTCCTCTTGGTCTCTTCCCCCTCCTCCCTTCTGTTCTCTTTTCGTCTCCCTCCTCCTTCCACTGTTCTTTTTCGTCTCCCTCCTCCTTCCCTTTCTCTCCTTCTTTCCTTCTCCTGTTCCCTTTTCTCCCTTGCCCTTGCCCTTTTCTCTTCTCCTTTCTTGCCCTGTCTCCTTGCCCCTTCTCCTTCCTTCCTCCCCCTGTTCTCTGTTCTCCATTTCCCTTTTCCCTTATCTCCTTTCCCCTTCTCCCTTCTACCTTTCCCTGTCTCCTTGCCCCTTCTCCCTCCTTCCTGTTCCCTGTTCTCCTTTTCCCTTTTCCCTTATCTCTTTGCCCCTACTCCCTCCTCCCTTCCCTTTCTCCCTTTCCCCTGACGCCTTCCCCTTCCCCCGTCCCCTCCACCTCCCCCCATATTCTCCCTTCCCCCCTCTGGCTCTAAGACCCTCCTCCCCCTCCTTTTGCGCTCGCCTCCCCTAGCTTCCCCGTGAATGGCGCAATCCGTACACGGCTGCGCACGTATGCCCCGCGCGGTCTTTGGCGGCGCAAAACCCGTGTCGTTATAGCGATTACGCGATCTCCTCACACGCCGATTCTCCGGAACGACCCTCCATCGCAGCGTGAATGGGAATTTTAGCGTGACGGTCGTAAATTAGGGATTCTTTAAAACCGTTTTCCTTTTTTTTTTTCTTTTAGTCTTTTTCTTTCTCTCTCTCTCTCCTAGATTATGATTTGCATCGGCGTCACATGCGCGATGCGAACCCAAGGTCACTCTAACGGGGTCCGAGTCAGCTGTTTATCGCGGCCACTTTTCTACCCGAGTTCCATTTTTTTTTCTACACGTGTCTTGAGGTTGCATGATGGGTAAGAGGTGTTGTTTGCCCACAATGGCACGTAATTGGGGGGTCGGAGGGAAGGGCCATGGTTACGATGCCACTTCTACGAGCCGGTAATCAGAGGGGTACTGTATGGCCGTGTATACAGACCCCGCGTAGATGGACCCAGCTGACCGGTCATATACGTCTCTGCTAAGCCGCCTTCCTCCCCCCTTCTTCACGTCTCTCCCTCCCCCTCTTCTCCCGCCTCGTTCTTTCATTCCTGCTTTCCTTTTCTCGTACTTTCGCCCCCCCCCCCTCTCCTTCACTCT